CTTTTTTTTTTCATCAAGCAGTACTCTATATTTTGGAAATAGAACAATGAACAAGACAGAAAGAAAGAGCCCTTTTCTCAAAGAGTTGATATTCTCCTGGTGGATTTCCCACCATCACGGATGGAAGTAAAAAGTTAGTAAATGAGAAATGCAATAAATTGACAAGATAATGTCAGATCTGGATAAGTGCTGTGATAAAAATAAAACAAGGTGATGTAGGAGAAAGTGGACAGATGATCAGAGAAGAGCTGTCCTCAATTACACAGTTAACTGTGATGCCAAAACCAGGAATATCTAGAAACAAATATCATACTTCCAGAAAAGTGCAAATGTTCTCAGATGGGGACATTTTTAACACTGCTGAAGATCAGAAAGAAGGTCTGCATCCTGGAAGCATGATGAGAGAGGAGGACAATGGCAGAAAGAGAGGGGTGAGAACTGCAGTTACCAAATTCTTAACTAGGGAGAAGTTTTGACGGGGAAGCTGTTTCCTAAAATGGACAAGGTCAAGGCATAGAATGAGCGATGGTTGGTAGTCTCTTTGGAAATGGGAATATGAAGACATTTCTGTGTTTTCAGGTAAGGTAATGACATCAATTGAGAGTAAGGAGGGAAGTTTGAAGGCAAGGTGTTAAGGGGTCCTAAATAAGAAGAAGAATGGACAGGCTTAAGAATGGTAGAGAAATTAATGGACCTCAGTTCACAGCCAGACCAGTGATTCTTTCCAGCCAGTTTCAGCCCCTAGGTGCGGTGAAGAGTGGATGTGAAGTAAATGAATCAGTTTTTATAGTAGATCAAATAATGAGAAAACCCAAATCAGGTGTCACAATCAAAAAGCTAAGATATACTTTATTTTTTGCTGGGAGTATAAACTGACATAATCCCTTTTGGAAAGCAATCTGTTGATATATTATTTAGTTGAAACCCAAACCAAACTCATTGCCTCTCAGTCAATTCTGACTCATAGAGACTCTATAGGACAGAGGAGAACTGCCCCATAGGATTTCCAAGGCTGTGATCTTTATGGAAGCAGATTGCCACATCTTTCTCCCATGGTGCAGCTGGTGGGTTTGAACCTCAATACACACAAATAAATGTGTGGTAGTGAAAAAGCAAAGGCTTAGGAATCAAGCATACCTGCATTCAAATCATGTGGGCCTTAACACTTCTGTGAGCTTACAGCTTTTCTGGGGGCAAAAGGTGTTTGATCAGAACCACTGTATAAAATGCAGTTTTGGAATAAGATGGCAGAAAAACCATTAGATGACTTAATTTGGATTTTCTCAAATAAATTTTTAGCTTCATTTTAATACTACAATCAACATTTTAAGTGTGGGAATGACAACTTTAACAGTTTTAAACAATTTTTAACAGCAAGCACAAACTTTACAATATATCGTCCAAAAAGTTGCAATGAGCTTCTTGGGCAAACTTCGGCTATATTGTTTTGGTGAAGATGACTCAACCTCAGACTCCTAGGTGCTTTTTGGAGCAAATAAAATACTATTTTGTGAACCCCTTACCAATTCATGGCCTGAAGACACAAGATGCATGATATAAACCGTGCAGGTGGAGATGTTCAAAGATCTCAAGTGACCAGCAGACTGACGAAGAAAGACAGGAGTGATGATAACTCCACCTTCTTACAGACAGTGAGCAACTTCAGAACAAAGTTGCAGATAACAGGAGGGCTATGACGGGACCCTCCTCAAAGAGACCAAGGCCTATGAACCTGGTAGTCAGCCAAGCTTTTCCAAAGAAGTTTTCAAAGAACTCAAATTTTATTTTAGGATGGTATGCATGCCCTATCCAGAACATTCTCTCTCATCAGTGACTTGGACCTGTGAAGGAGGCTCAGTTTATTGTCTCACCCAGCTGAACTCAAGCTGGTAAAGCAGAAGTTAGTGTTAGCATAAGTTTCAAGCTCAAGAGGCCAGGAGAGGATAGAAAAAATTCTTCATGACTTCAAACAACCTTTTGTCACCAGGAGAGAAAGATCACTCTCAAGTATCTGTGTGAGGAGTCAACGACTCCTTCTGTAGAGTTATCAGTGTTATGGATTAATGGCTTCCCAGAATAAGGCTGAGGTGATGTGTGAACCTACATGATGGACTGCTCATCCACTGCCAGTGATAGTCATCTCTCCCAGAAAAAGGAAAAGTCTTCACTGATCCTGTGACTGCAATGGCTGGATGTGAAACAAAAAAGAAGAGCTGGACATTGACCCACAGTGTAGGCTACTGCTGAATGGATGGTGGTAGTCAATTCCATCAATTACCAACTGCTGGACTTCTGACAGGGAAGAGTTGACATTCCCTTGAAACATCAATTCTGTATCCAGTGGTGAGAAAAATTCAACCTTAAGTCTCACGGATACAGCCAGTCCAACATCAGGAAGGTAATTCTACTGGGGAGGACCTCCATCAGCAGCTCTTTATGGATAGGGAAGCAGCAACAACCCCAGCTCTCCACAAACCTTCTGCCATGTGGAGTCCAACCCACTTAAGTCCACAGCTGTGCTAGGCCTCCTCCAGGTGCTTGGGGAGGCACCGCCCACACCATGGCATTTCTTACCAAAGGGATACAATGTATCATTGGAATTACACACTGGCCCACCACTGGCTTGCCCTGTCACCAACATGATCCACTGAATGCAACAGCAAAAAGAGAAGATGGAAGGTGGGGTAGAAGGCCACGGAGATGATGGCAGGTGGTCTACCAGAGTGAGCAATCACATCTTATTTTTTATCAAAAACACAATACACACAGTGTAGATAGCATGTAGAATATATATAAATGGTACTTAAGTATAGTACAGAATATGTGTATTTATGAATTTAATAAAATTATCAATATTTTGAATTACTAATGTGCTTTTTCTCCAAAAGATTCAAATAGATCTTTTTTCAATATAGTTACGTGTGTTTCTTAAATCTCAAGGCAGTAATGTTTGTATTAGTAAATTTTGAGGTGAGTCATATGTGACTGTGTAGCTGTTAAGCACATACAGAATGCGGTGATTGGTTGTTTGGAAACTATCTGACAGCTTATCTAGGTCCATATAGATATGAAGAATTGTTTTTAAAATAGGAGGTTCTCAATAAATATCTAAGGAGTATATTTATATTAACACTACATTTGAATTAAAACAGTGACTTATTTATAAATCAATATAAATTTATTTTTATTTGAGATGCAGAATGGATGGAAATTTGATTAAAGAATTTTTGTAGGTTATTGCACGAAGTTTATTACTGAAAGTTTTCCATGGATTATTATTATATTATTATTTAACTTTTATACATCAGTGTATCAGCAGAGTATTAACTAAAGATACACTTTATATATCTATACTTTTATATATATGTATACTTTTTTTCCCTCCTGGTTATTCTTACTCTTATCTGCTATATGGTGCTAAAGCCAACACGTCGAAATGGAATTTGAAAATTTATTACAATGGTTTCATACCTATTATATAATTCTATACTAATTGAGTTGGAGTTCTTTGCTTTAAACAAAGACATACTGATGTATACTGCTTCTGATAAGAAAATAAAGAACACAAAAATGAAAATGGAGTGAACCTAAATGGTAAGTTTTGTTTAAAAAGCCAAAAAGCCCTAGCTTTATTTTTATTGAATTTTGTTTCTTTTTTATCTTCCCTCACTCCATTCACTCTACCCACACATACACACCACACACACACACACACGCACGGGCAGCTTCTTCTTTTTTCGTTTTTCTCCTTCTCAGGCAGATAAATTAAGGACATGGCTCTTCACTCCATGCTCACAAGACTTCTACGTAATCCTTTGTATGACTGGAGGATTTGTCAGAACCTTCAGAAGTTTACCAACCACATCTTTCCCTTTCAGGTGAGATATAGTAAAACGCTAAAATTGTCCCAGGGAAACTTCAGACTAGACTCTTTTAAAAGTATCACCACACCTTGGTTGACATATGCCACTTTTTTCTCTTACAGTTAAAAAGTCTGATCTTGCTGAATTCCAACTCTCATTCTATACTGTCATTTTGAGAAAGTGACACAATATTTTCTATTTAAGGCAATGTTAAATAATTTCTTTTACTCTTCTTGAGGTACTGAAAGTTACAGTGGTCTGGATTTAACTATATAATGTTGCTATGATTTTACACATAGCTATTGGCATCTTATTTGAAAGGCTATGAACTCACAATATGTTGAGAAAAATATTTCCCCCAAGATACCCACATATGTCTCACTCAAAACTGTGGGCAATTGCCAGAAGCCCAGGATATCAAGAAAGAGACACACACACATACACACTCCAAACCCCAAATATTATTAAAAAAAAAAAAAAAATGAGTGCAAAATCAATGCAAAAGAGAGAAAAAGGCCTTTAAGAGCACCATTTAGCAAGGGTGATATTCAAGATAACCACAGCAGGGGTAGGGTGTGAAGGGTAGGGGTCTGGTCACCAGGAAAGTCCATGAGTTCCTCCGGGCTCAGGACAGCAGCCTCAGTTCCTACCCAAGTAATAGGAGACTAGAGTGAGAGATGTTCTTATCAGGAAGTCTCCCATCCCTTTGGGCATTCCCATAAATATCAGTGGCACTATCCTCTACGAGGCTCTGTGGAGACCACACTCTATTGGCACAACAGTTTTTTTTCAACTATTCAAATAGCTTTGGAGAGCGTTATTGAAAGCCTCTGCAGTGCCAGGGCAGTATTAATTACAGGCTATGTTATGGGAACTCCGTCCTGAGGGAATCTGTGTTCTCAGATATGGCAACCCAATTAAATAAAACCAGCCCAAGGAGGCTGGTTTTCAATGGCTCAAATGACTATAGTAACAGTGATGCCCTAAATAGTATGAGATTTTTTTTTCTGCAAAGCTCACAGTGTCTCATGGATGTTTCCTAATTAGTCTGCAGATCGGCTCACTTACTTCAATCAGTTCAGTGAGAAATTCACGGCCCGTGAGGCCACACAGAGGCACTGTGGGTGGCAGGCCTACCTGAGCCCATATAGCACAGTCCCGTCGGGGTGCAGGCGGATCATGCGGTTCTTCACTGTCACCCCATGCACGAACGACTTTTTGTCATTTAAAAAATACGTGTCAGGCACCCAGAGCTGGTCAGCCACTCGATTGTCCAGTGTGAGGTTGAGAGGGATCCCCGAATAGGCGAGCCTCTTGTCTCTCCAATATTGTTGGAAATACATGGTTAAGGTGTAGTCCTGGGAAGAGAAAGAAAAAACATCAGGGTATACTCAGCTACAGGTATGCTCCCCCCATGGGTTCCCAAATCCAGGTTGGGAATCTGAGCTTTCCAGTGAATTTCCAGGAGAGGCAGAGGCTGTTTGTAGGCAGGGTAGGAAGCAGTGGTGGCTTTCTTGTGAAAGCAAGTCTTACAGCTTGCCCAGGTTTCATAGGTGTGTCTCAGGTGTATGTAAATTCTGTGTTTTATTTAGGTAGGAACTAGACTAGATAAATGGGCATTTAAGAGACAACCACATAGAGTAAAGGCTAGAAAACATGCCATCATAAAATCAGGTTCCTGGTCCTGAACAAGAGTAGTCACATTGGCCCTCATCTATCACCCGGTAGACACGTTCATCAACCACCCAAGAGAAATGAGCTCTACCCACAAACTCTCTCTCTCTCTTTGCAACTTAAGCCACTTTTTTCTTGTTCTGCCCTCTGTGGGGCTGTAAATAAGCATCCAGTGGAGAGCAATGGCCTGCAGGGCCTCTATGCTCCATCCTTCATATTTTCTTTTCTTTCAGCATGCCACAGTCATGTCCACACTAGCTAGGCCATTGTGTCACCAGGAGATGGTGACATTGTTAGTCTGGCATTGGGAGTATGGTCTGCCTCTATACCTCCCATCCAGGCTGCCTAACTGAAGACTGTAAGCCCAGAGTATCCTGTGATAAGGAGGCTGGGAATTGGGTTGCCTTTTCTCCTCTAGCTCCTTCTCCTGGTTTCAGAAGGCTTCTCCCTGTTCTGGGTACACAGTAACTTTGTTTGTATCTTGCACATGCATGGACACCATACAGCATCTGGCCAACCCCACTTTTATATCGGTTCCTGGTGGGGAGGGAACGAAGTCTCCAGTACTATGGCACAAGAGGGGGAGAGGCACAAGGGAGAAAATCTGCCAGATTGTAAGAGCCGGCCTTGGGGTAGGGGGATGGACTGAAGGGGAAACAGGCTTTGCAAAGCCTGAGCATTCCCATGTGGTCCACTAGTTCATTACAGTTTGCATTCTTATGTAAGCCCCTGGCATGGAGCCACTATTGTACACCACCACTATAAAACCTCTGCCCTTCCACTGCGGGGTGCGGAGATCTGCTTTGGTCTTGCAGCTGCCCAGGACTTGGCCTTGTATGTGTCTCCCTAATAAAGCTCTTTCACTGCCACACTGGAGTTGCCCACTCTTTGTTTAGTCTCTCTCCACCCTCCCTTTTTGGGAGACAAATTTCAAGTCACTGGCCCATGCCTGGACAACTTGTGACACAGACAGAAGACCCAGGACATGCCGAGTGGGAGTGAGACAACTGCGAGGGAAATCCTGGATCAGCCAGTGACCTCTATGTGGGGAGATCTGGCCTGTATGCTTTTCTGTGGGGGAAATCCCAGTTGGCCAGCAACTTCCATGTGGGGACGTCTGGCCCATATGCCTTTCTATGGGAGAAATCTCAGGCTGGCCATTGACCTCCATGGGGGGAAGTCTGGCCTGTATCTTTCTGCAGGGGAAATCCTGAGCATGCCAGAGTACAGGAACGGCCTGAAAATGCCAAGCAACGTAGCCTACCTGTAGGCAGACACGCACCTTCGTAAGTGTGGAAAAGAAGCTGAGAAGAGTAGTAGTGGCCATGGAATGGCTGCTGCTCCGTGCTGTTCAGCTGGCCACCAAAGCCTAGCTAGCTGCTCAAGTGCACATAAGAGTTTTGCAGGAAGAGTTGTCATTGAAAATGGATGTGTGGCAGTTGTGTGTGGCCATGACTGACATATTGAGCAGCTGCATCAGTGAACAGGATGAGCAACTAAAAATGCTGGCCTACAGGTTCATAAAGATGGGAGATTCAAAGGCTAGGGGAACAATCCTCTAGTAATTGCTCAAAGCCCTCCAACAATAGTTGGAGGGGCTAAGCAGGTCTGTGGCACTGAAAAGACCTTGTAATACCCAGCACAAAGCAACAGTTAAAACAGCAAGAAAAAAAAGGAGTAAGAAGTCCCTCAAGATAGCTTGTGTTGAGCAGCATTGAAGAGACCTTACAGGCCCTCTCTGGAATTCTCTGGTAACTAACCCAACCAAGATAATCGAGCAGAACATAGTCATTGCTGTGGTAAATAGTAAGGGGAAAACTAAAATAGGAGGGCTCACCTCCATGTTACCAGATAACTGGGCTGAACCCATGCTTGAGCTTGGTATGGTGGAGGCGTGACTCCATAAATGACTGAGGGCTCTGCCAACTTTGCCCAGATCTCCTGACTTTTTAATTAAGACTGAGGATTAAGCCTAGATTCCTCTGTCACCAGGAAGGACCAAAGGGCTTATGTTATAATTAAAGTTCAATGAGAAAAACTTTTGTGTTTGAGGTCACCGTCACTGAGACCCAAGCCTGACTATGGATAAGTCCCTTCAGGGCCCCTACACACCCCTATTGTATGTATTCATAATAGTGATGTATTTAAATACAACTTGTAAACTTCTGCCTCCAAGTCCTAATGGGAATTGCAGCAGTTAGGGCCAATTTTAATGGGGCTAACAGAAACTGTGACATGGGCTATAATGAATAGCTCAGCCATTCAGTCTGGCCACTGACAACCCTCAGATTGACATATAAAACAAGCCCCCATGGGGATGAGACATCCGAATAACAACAACAAAAAATCAGTTCTGCTTCTGATAAGCTTCTGTTACTTGTGCGGATGGTCACCAGAAAGGCCCTTATGCTGAGAGGGGAAAATAACTAACGAGCAGACCACTTTTGTCAACCAACTACAAAGCTGAAGCATCCTCTGCTCCAGAGCAAAGACGTGTGTAACCGACCACCTTCTGAATTTAAGAGAGGACAGATCATGGAGATATGCACACTATCTTAGGCTGGGCCTACATGCATGGACTGCCACTATCATCAGAAAACTGACCTGCCTACGAGATCCTGGTCAAGGCTAAAACATGCCCAGGGACAGATTCCCAAGTCAACAGGCCAGGAAAATCATATCAGGGCCTCTTATTGCGTACAGAGACCTCCACTGGATCTTGAATGAACTTTTCACACTCTATATGACCCCCAAGCAATAGGGTGATTAAGCACTTCAACGGACAGGCTTAAATGACTGATGGGAGGAGACAAGACAACCCCAGCCTGATCTATATATCTTAGGCAAGCAGTCTGGTGTCTTAACGCAGCAGTTTCCTGCAAGCGCATTTCTCATTTGTGCCGTGTTTGAGCAAACTGTCTATCCTATAAAATGTTTCTCTTTTGTATACAACTGTTCCTGACAAAACGTCTGGGTTCCTACAGAGGTCACTGCCTCAAGACTGGGACAGACAGCCTGGGTAGTTATACTTGAGTAACCCTCACCTCAAGTCCCATGAGAGATAGGGAAGGGGAGGGGGGAATTATTAATGTTGTCTCTTTTTCTTCCCAGATTATCTCACAAGGATGGACAGGCCCCTCATCCATAGACTCCAATGATACAGGCTTTTGCAAGAACTACCAATCAGACCAACTGTTGGCTACATCAACATTTGAATCGAGATAACGCATCTTCTCTACAGATAGTTTCAGTTGATTTGTCAACAAGAAGGACACTTTGTGAACTGACTAAATGTGTAACCTGATGTCCTGAGAAGATCATGTGGTAAATGAATACTGTCAACTCCACTAGTCATGGAAAACATCTTTTGAAGTATGAAAGTTACCTGTGAGGAGTGCTGCAACTTTAGAAAGAAATTTCTCTCTGTGTGTTAAAAAAGTAAATGGCATGAGACTGGACGGTTTGACTCTGAGAATGGTACTTTTGAGACTGAATTTGACATTACTCTAGATATGAAGAACTTACAGAATATGACTGGAAGAGGCTGCATAGGCCTGGCTCACTATTATTTACTCCCATTGCTAACCGTCACATTGTCTCATGATCTTGTTTTTCCCTCCAGTTCCAGTCTCTACAAAAGTTTTAAGATTAACCGATGTTCCTCCTTGGGGGGTGGAAAACAAGTAATAATGATCTAAGGATGAAAGACTGAACAAAGCACACATCTTGTGACAAGAAAACCAGGATGTCACCAGATAATTCCCAAGAATGTCGCCAGATAACCCCCAAGAATACAAGTAAAAGATTAACTCATCTGAGACATGACCACCTCAAGGAGGAACTAACACAAACCTCTAAAACCCATAATCCTGTCCCTATAAAAGCCTTCAGCCAATCTCCAGTTGGAGAGACGGGTTTTTTTGTTTTTGTTTTTGTTTTTTTGAGGAATCTATTCCCCTCTGTCTCCTATATATTGATACATAATAAAACTCTTGCTGCTCACCTCACCCATCTCAGAACCGGCTATTGCGGCAGGCGGCTCCAATCCACATTGTTGTGGTAACAAATTTGGTAGCCCCTACCGGGAGCTTCAGCTGCTTGAGATGCAGCGGCCCGGAGGCAGGGCCTGGGGCTGATCGACAGCTCTCCTGACAAGCAGCCGAGAGAGGGTTCATTTGCCTCTGGGGAGATTATGGGCCAGACCTAGGTCTGCCACTGCACCGCTGGTCCCCAACCACGCCAAAAGAGGTGGGTGAAAGAAAGTAAGACCCGCATAGGAGGGATCCCAAGGTGAGTCTGCGACTCCTCTCTCTGTTGCACTCAGGGCCGGGGTGGATAGGGCAGGCCTGAGGGTTCCAGAGCGGGACCTGAGCCCTTGGTTTCTGGGGCAGGATACGCCCCAGATGACCAACCCCGTGAGTAGGCTTGCAAGAAGGGAGTCCTGGTGACTCTAGAGTCCTGGTTCTGGGGTGTGTGAGTGCTTGTAACTGTGTCTGGGAGGTTGAGATTCTCTAAGAGCACCTCTGTTGGCAGACAGGGCAGTCTGGGAGGTTGAAGGGGTCCAGAGCACCTCTGTCAGCTTGTGGGATTTCTCGTGAGTGTGTCTAGGAGGTTGAGATTCTCTAAGATCACCTCTGTCAGCAGGCAGGGCCATGTGAGAGGTTGAAGGGGTCGAGAGCACATC